CTCAGGCATGGTGTCACATCTGTTGTGTTCCGCCTTGGGTCAGCTTTGGCTGACCTCTGTGCCAGGAGCTGGGGTGGAGGATGACATGGGTGTTTTGAGAGCCCACTGCTAAATTGGGGTCCCAGTGCTGGAGTGACCAGCAAGCCCATCGGGGGAAGTGGCATGGGCATTCATGGTGCCACCTCCACAGAATGCTGCTCCTATCTGTTAGGTGACTTGGCAACTTATTGTCCACCATGACCAGGAGTCTCGCAGGGGACACCTATTGATAGGCAAGCACCCCATGCTCTTGCGTGACACATATGTATCATGAGGTCTGACCCTTGCTGTGGTACTGGAAGCCATCCTCAGTCCCCTGGGTCCCAAGAAAAACCAGCAGGGGGCAGGTGGTTCTGAGAAGAGAAGAGCACCCAGTCCCACATCACCCGAGGACAGTTCCCAGTCCTCGGGGGATTGAAGAGCCAGGAGCATAGTCTTCCACTGGGGTCCTGCGGGAGCTTCGGCTTCTGGCTTAGGGAAGGCAGGCAGACGTCAACGACATCTCACTGTGGCTGAGAGGACGCTGAGACATGTCTGCACAGCCCATGCAGGGGTGCAGCAGTGTGGCCACAGCCCATGCAGGGATGCAGCAGTGTGGCCAATAGTATAACCCTCCTCAGGGATGTAGTCATGAGGAGGAGGCTGTTGGATAAGGCAGAGATCTCTGTACGCACCACAGGTTGGACAGGAGGAGGCCAAAGCATCTAGGGGCCAAACCCTACTGGTGTGAAAGACTTAAACACATTCAGGATGGTGCCAAGGAGAGAACATTCTTTAGGGATTCGCTCTAGGGGCAGTGGTGGGGCCACTGGACAGCTCTTGGGTCATCTACACAGCAGGTGCTGTACCTGGTAAAACTGTGCTTCCTAGAGCCCCCATAGAAATGGCATGCTATGGTAACACTGGGGCAGAACCCTGCTCGTGGCCTGTGGTCCACAGTGTTGCCGCATTCAAGACAGAGGTGTTTGGCTGCTAGTTTTTGCCATGGTTAAGGCTAAGGCACATGTTCACCTTCCATTGCCTTCCAGGGGTACACTTTGTCTTCGATACTGCCTTTGCAAGGAACTTCAGCCTTTTGGAGAGCCAGAAAGAGTTTGTGCAGCGATTCCGAGGGCAAGCCAGCTCCAGAGAGGCCTTGCCCATGCTGGCTTCTGCCTGCCCAGGTATGTCCATGGCTGTATGGTTGTTTAATTGAAGTTAGGACTTGGTATACTGACAGCTTGACAAGGAAAATGGGAATGATGGGGAAGGGTATCTTGAGAGTGTAGAAATGTCAGTACCTAGGAGGTGCCTAAGGCCCAGGACATCACCTGTAGTCACCAGTTCCCATTGGTGATCACCTAGATGCCAGCCTTCCTCGTGACAGTGGTGACAGGAGGAATGTCTTAATGCCACAGTAATTTCGTCTATGAATCGGTCCACCCCCAGAATGTCATGTCACTGCCAAGAGGAGAACAGCTGTTTGTGAACCACCCCCAGGCCTGCCCTGTGCACATCTCAGACCTATTTGTTCCTTTTGGCTCAGGCTGGATCTGCTATGCTGAGAAGACACATGGCAACTTTATCCTGCCCTACATCAGCACAGCCCGGTCCCCACAGCAGGTTATGGGCTCCTTGGTCAAGGACTTCTTTGCCCAACAACAGGTAAGAGGACTGAGCATCCCCAGATAACATAATGAGGAGTGGCCAGCTGTGACACAGGAGTGAGAGATGGCCTGCTGGCTGGCTGGCCACTGATCCCTTGCCTGTGACCATGGCACTTTCTGGAGGTGTCTCGGTGACTGACACCTAATGGTAGCTGCCAGTGGAATAAGCTTGGCCTCAGTATCAGTCTTGCTCAGCTGGCCTGTTACTAACTGGGCTGTCTTTTGTCAGGCATCAGGGGGCCCAGTTCTGAGATAAAGGCACTTCTCACATCTAGAGCTGGCTAGACTCCACGTTTGGGGAGCAGGAGACCATGGGCTAGAAGCACACCCCACAGGCTGCTGGGTGAACAAATCAGATCTCACCTGAGGTCATTTCTAGCGATTTCCCGGACCCAGACTGAAGTCAGCCACTGACGGAGGGTGAGGAAGGGAGCTGGCTTCCGTAGTACCTGAACCCACCAGCACTGACATCAACCCTGTGCATTCCCTCGGCATGTGCATGGCCACACTTCCCTCGAGTCCGTGCTGTTTCCACTGTGACCTGTTCTTTCTTTCAAAGGCAGTGAGAGCCTCTTCCTCTGCTGCCACTGGCTGTTAGGGACAGAAGCAGGAGAGGAAATGTGACCCTGGTCATATGATGGCCAGTAGGTGTGAGTAAGTGCACAGGTCATGCTTGGCAGTCATCTCTGCCTCCCATTTCAGTCGGGCCACTTCGGAGCTTGGCTTAGATGGGACTGAAGTTTTCTATACTCTCTTTGTAGCATCTGACTCCAGACAAGATCTACCATGTGACAGTGATGCCCTGCTATGACAAAAAGCTAGAAGCATCCAGACCTGACTTCTTCAACCAGGAGTACCAGACCCGTGATGTGGACTGTGTCCTTACGACAGGTGCAGTCACCATGCGTAACTCTACCCCCCACTGTCTACAGGGCTCCCCTAGAGCCAAGCACTAGAGTCCAGCAGACAGCAGGGACGTCCCTCGGTGCCTCCAGGATCCTGTGACCAATGGAGACCCAGTATCAGATCCTTGCTGGTTCAGAAACGAGTCTTGAGGGCAGGCAGTGCCTCAAGTCTACTCCCTGTGGCTCCCATCTTCACCCCACTTCTAAGTGGAGTAGCCTGTCTCCCCCTTGAGAAATAAACCGTCTGGGAGGCTACACCACCTGCCATGGACTGGCAGAGTAGCCCTGGTTCCCTTTACAGTGCTGCAGACAGGAGTGCCTTCCGCTGGCCTGCAGAGGCTGGCTGGACTCAGCATCCCACCACCAGCAGGAGTGAGTGTCCCTCTGGGGACACAGACCTCTCAGCATTCTGAGACCAACTGAGCATGTGCTGTGGTCCTCTGCAGGAGAAGTCTTCAGGCTGCTGGAAGAAGAAGGAGTCTCACTCTCAGAGCTGGAGCCTGTGCCCCTGGATGGCTTGTGAGTTGGTGGTGGGGACTGAGAACGTTTATTTGGGGTCAGATGCTGCCTGTGGGGTGGGGCAGTGTCTTGTCCCCTCCTTTCTACCCAGGCTGCCTTCTGGCCGACTCCAGACCTCCCCACAGCCTGGCTGGGGCCCAAGAGTGGCTGAGTTACAGTGTCAAAGCAGAGCCTGCTCTAGAAGCCATCTGAGCTTCCCAGGGCCACCATAAGAACAGTTCTTAAGGTCTGGCTACAAGAGACCTCAGCTGTATTGAGCCCCAGCCTCCTGCACTGACCCGCCCCTCTCCCAGAACCAGTAGTGCGTCTGCTGAGGAGCCCACCAGCCATCGGGGTGGAGGCTCAGGAGGCTACCTGGAGCATGTGTTCCGGCACGCAGCCCAAGAGCTCTTTGGAATCCATGTGGCTGAAGTTACCTACCAACCCATGAGGTTAGCAGGGCAGGCACTGAAGTGAACTTGGGGGGAAGACCCCTAGAGCCCTTGGCACAAGTCTGTCTCCTCTTATGAGCATGAGGTGTGAGCAAGCAGGCCAGGGCACTCGCTTCAGTCTCCTCAGCAAGAGACCCTGAGCCAGAATTAGCAGGTGCCTGCTTGGGTGCAGCACCTGCGGGTGAGGTTACGGGGTGGGCCCATGGATGCAAGCTGTACCCCTTCTCCATCATCCCTCCCCTGCCTGCAAGCAGCAAAGCCAGAGGGCTTCTGCACCTGGGCAGGGACAGGTTTGCATGGCAATGTGCAGTTTCACAAGCCTTCTACACTTTCAGGAACAAGGACTTCCAGGAGGTGACACTAGAGAGGGAAGGCCAGGTGCTGTTGCGCTTTGCTGTGGCCTATGGCTTCCGCAACATCCAGAACCTTGTGCAGAAGCTGAAACGAGGCCGCTGTCCCTACCATTACGTGGAAGTCATGGCCTGCCCTTCAGGTAGTCCCTCCTAGCACAGCAGCTTGCCACCAGTGGGAGGTGGGAGGGTTGGACAGGAGGGGACACGTCCCCTCTCCACACCCGGGAGTCAGGGGGCTAACCCTGACTTCCCACCATGCCCTGTGCTCTGCCACAGGCTGCTTGAATGGAGGGGGCCAGCTCAAGGCTCCAGATATGCAAGGCCAGGAGCTCCTCCAGCAAGTGGAAAGACTGTACAGCATGGTGAGGAACGAGGCACCCGAAGATGCACCTGGGGTCCAGGAGCTGTACCAGCACTGGCTGCAAGGTGAGGGACCCGAGCAGACCCGCCGCTTGCTGCACACGCAATACCATGCTGTGGAGAAGACCAACTCAGGCCTCAGCATCAGGTGGTAGGAGGCCTTGGGAGTCTGAGAGCCCCAGCGGCCAGCACCAAGACTCCAAGGAAGACCATGTGGGTATCAGCAACAGAGGACACTCCAGAGACCTTCAGAATTCAAGGAGAGCCGCCACAAGGATGACTTGGATTCTGGGCTAAAGTGGGTCACTAGCCGCACGTGTCCTTGGCAGTACATGACCTGCGTGCCTCTGGTTGGTAATGTGGTCTATGGCCTGTGCACCTCCAGATTCCACACTGAGTTCTGCACGGTCGGAGTGCAGGCAGGATCAGGGGTAGCCAAGGAGGCTAAAGGTTCAATGAGGTTCTAGAATCTCTCCTATTGGCCCAGAGCCATGGGCGTATTCCCTGCCCTGCCCTCCGGCTGTAGTAGCCTGAGTATGAGCTGTTTCCTTTCTGTGGCTAACCCCTAAAGCTACAATGTATAGGGCAGGTATCAAGCCTGAACCTAGTGGGGCACCTGATCCTCTAAAAACTGGCTGTCGTCTGGGCAGTCAGATAGCACCACGCCTGTATGGTTGTGAGAACTCCATAGCTTGTCTCTCTCCCAGCCTCACCACTAATAAACAGGTCTGCACCTCTGGAAGCATCTCCTGTGTGTCTGGCACCACACTGGGCCTTTCCAAGTTTATTCACCCTTCTCAGCCCCCAGACATGTATGTCTCAGGGCCTACAACAGCTCCTCCGGAGAGTCCGCCTGTCTGGCCCCCTGAGCAGTAGAGACAAGGAAAGCACCATTTGCTGGTTCTTTAAAGCAGGGTAGCAGGGCCTCAGAGGAATGTTCTGGAGGCAGGGTTCCAGTCAGCTTGAGATCAGGAGAAGGGGTGTGGAGACAAGCAGCCTTCCCACATGGCTCATTTTTCCTGGGGTGTACTCAGAAGCCCCCACTGCAAGGCCAGGAGTGCCCGAACCTGGGGCTGCGGTGGTTCCAAAGCAAGCTGGAAGCGTGCTCGCTCCCTGCAGAGTACCTCCAGGACCTGGGCTGGTGCCACCTGGCCTGTGAACTCACGCACTGGATCCTCTCTGCAGGGAAGAGTATGCTGGGGAATTGTGGGGCTGGCCAGCTGCCTATGGGGGTGGGGCCAAGCAGAGCATTGCATAGAAGGAAGAGGGCCCTTAACAAGGAAGAGGGCCCTTCCCTGATGCCAGGGACATTCAGCTCAATAAATAGTCCCTAGATACCCTCCTAACTACCCAAATTACTGCCAAAGAGGCCCCAAGGATGCCAGCTAGTCCTGAGACTGCTCCACGGGGACACTCGAGCTGGCAGTGCACATGGCCTCTTGAGGCTGCCCCATCCACTGGAACGGCCCAGGCCCCACCACAGGAAGAAGGCCCAGGACACAGCCATACTTACGTTACCCTCAGGAAAGGGTTGTACAAGAGCTCCTCACCCAGTGTCGAAGGCACAGTAGGTATATCATCATCATCTCTCTTCTGCAAAGAGCACAGGCCCCTGATTACAGCTGGGATCCAACAGCCACAGGGAGATTAAGGTGGGTGGCAGACGGTCTGTAGCAGGGCAGACTCTGGCCTAGCCAGCTGCAGCCAGCAGAAGTGTCAGTCTGACTCTCCAGTGACTCCCTTTCTGGACTTCCCCCAAACTTCAGGAAGACTACTCCTGCCTCCACCCCTGTTGTGGAGCCAGAAAAGGATGCACCTGGGCCCAGGACAGCTTAGCTCGCACGTGGTCGTTGCAGGGCTCCACTTTCTGCGCAAATTCAAGATTGTTCAGTGTATGCTCATGACCACAGAACACCTTCTGCAAGAAGAGGGAGCTCAGTGAACACACACTGCCCCAAGTCAAGGAAGGCACTCACCCCTAACCTAGCATCCAACCCACTCTGGTCCACACCACCTTTACCAAAGCAGGACAGGTACAGAAGCACAGGTTGTACCAGGAAGAAGTTCAGTACCACGCATGTGGACCCCACAGAAGGCTCTCTCACCGTCTGGGGTGGCAGGGTGTCCAGGATCTTGGTCAAGCTCTGGTACATCTGCTGTGCAGTATCCTCCAGATGCCAGCCACAGCCTGCCACTGACAGAGCATCCCCTAGGGAGGAAAGAGGGTCAGAAGGGGGCAGGGAGGGCACAGTGAAATTGCATAAGTGGATGAGTCCAGGCTGCAAGGTACCAGAGAAGAGAGCTGGTGGGTCCGGGCATTCATCCTCCCACAGGAAGTAGCTCATGTGGCCAGAGGTGTGGCCCGGCGTCAAGAGGCATCGTACATGGATGGCCCCAAACTGTGATGGTGAGGCATTGGACCTGTGAGGGCTGGAGGGCAAGCCCGGGCCAGGACTCTCCCCACCCCTTCTGGGCGCATGCTCACCCGAAGCTCCTCCCCATGTGCCAGCCTGCGGGTTAGCGCACAGATGCGCTCATCTGCTCCCATCACTGCCAGTCCCGGCCGCAGGTGCACCAGCTCCGCATTTCCACGTGTGTGGTCCCTGTGGAAGAACAGGAGCTTGGACAAGTCAGAGTGCTAGTGGAGGAATCTGACTTAGGCCTCGGCACACACCCTCTTTACTCACCAGTGGTGATGGGTGGTCAGCACCGTGGTCAGAGACACCCCCTCGCGGCCTGCAATTTCCAGCAGCTGAAAAGAATGGAGCTGTAGTGCCGTGGGCCACCCATCCCATACTGCGGCACTAGGTTCAGGGCTTAGTTCTCCAGGCAGGCCCAGGACTCAGGACAGCACGGGTCAGGGAAGATATCGGGCAGACAATTAAAAGTACTGGGGCACCACAAACACCAAAGGTAGCCATAACTTCAGGGGAACCCAAAGATAATGCATCAACTGTAAGGTACAAATATAGGGGATCGGGTCTGCTCCAGACAGAGAGGTAGGGAGTCCCTTGATGGCATCCTTTGTCGGTCCTCACCCTCTTGGGCACAGCCACGTCCACAGCCACTGCCTCCCGTGTGTGCTCCTCAATGATCAGGTACATGTAGTTGTCCTCAAGTACCGGGATGACTTTGACCTTCATGGTCACAGACCTCAGCCAGTCCTCACCTTCTCCAAAAGAGGCACCCCAGCCTAGTGAATCCCTTCTCCTGAGCTGCACGAGGCAGGTCAGACACACACACACTGGGGGTACAAAAGAAGAGTTGCTCCGCTACCCAGGAGCTTCTCAGAGGACCCACTTTAGCTCCAAGACCCAAGACTCAGGGGCCGGCGGCCCTGCCCACCTCAGACCCCGCCCCTTGTCCCAGCTTCACCTTCCCCCAAAAGCTACACAGCACTGCGGCTTCCTTCTAGCTCCGCCTCCTAGCTCCGGTAGACCCCGCCTTCCTCCACAGACCCCCGCCTCTCTCAGCTACAGTGAGACCCCAAGGCCTGGGTCGTCCTCATTCCCTGCTGTCCTTCTCACCCACACATGAGCCGCCAATCTAGCGTCCCTGCCAGAGCGTGGCCGCTGCCTCCCACGCTCCCCTACTCCCCCCGGCGCGACCCTGAGTGCAGCCGAGATCTGACGGGAGACGCAGGAATTGCGCGTGCGCAAAAGGGAATCCACGCACCGATAGGGCGCCGGGTAGTGTAGTGAGCATGCTCCATCTCAGCATCAGGCAAGGGCATCTCCTCAAGTTATCCTTCCTGGTGCCCAGGCTGAGCTAGCTCGCGAAGTTCACTGCCCCTGATTATGCCCGTTTCTCTCAGACAGAGGGTGGCAGGGTGTGTCCAGCTTGTTCACCTGCTGGTGTGAGTTCAGCTGACACAGGAAGATATGCAAGAGTCTAGAGTTATGAATCCCTACAGGAGGGCAGGACATCCCATATAAAGACAAATAGTGCCCACAACTGCAGGTACAGGTTTAGCATTGTCATGCCCTGCTGGATCCAGTTGGCCTGAAATAAACGGGGTGCCTGTCTGTACTTCCCAGATGACATGGGGCCCGTGAAGGAATGGAATGTGGAAAGAGCTGAGCACGCTCACCCTCTTCGTAAGCACTGAACGGCCTTGCCCTTCCTTGGAGGCAGGATGGGTAGTCTCTAAGATCAACAGAGGCCTTGGCAACACTGGCAACACTCACAGCAACAGCCAGGAAGCAGGCCACCATCAAACAGGTCCGGGGCCAGAATTCCTTTCCCCTATGGAGGATGTAGCAGCCCCAGGCCCCAGGCCAGGGGCCTCACTTCAAGTCACAGAGAATGTGAGTCTTCCCAGGACACTGATGTTGCATTGGGGTCCTTCCTTTCCTTCACAGACCAGAAGGGATGAAATCCTGGATCCCGTGTCTGTTCCTGCCCAGGGAAGGAGCTGACCTTGTTCAGGAGGGCTGAAATGCCTCTATAAGAGCGGGGTCCACAGCCCAGGCTGGAGACCCACCTGAATGTGTGTGTGTGTGGGGGGGGGGGGTGCCTTCCCAGGTTGTTCCAGGAACTGAGGACTGGTTGCCAAGAGTTTCTGGACACCCAGCCTGGGCTACCAGCCTGGAGACAGAGTATCAGACAGATCCAGAGCTGAGTGAGAAGCAGCGGTTGCAGGTGGCTGTGGGGCTGTGGGGTTCTGGGTTCTGGTAGGAGCAGAAAGCCCATGAAGCCAATGGCAGCATCTCTCACCTGGTTACCCACAGGTTTCCAAGGAGCTAGTTGATCTCCAGATTGCAACCCATCACCTTCGTGAACAACATGAAGCTGAAGTCTTCGAGCTGAAGAAGGAAGTGAGTAGCCATGCAAGCTCTGTTTGTCAGCCTGAGTGCATTCAGGAACAGAGTGCACCCCCAGGACAAGCACCATGAAGGGGTTCAGGTGCCTGGGAGTAAACTCACACTTCGTGTCTGTGGGCTTTTATCTGGTCCCTGTATAGTGCCCAGGTGAATACCTACTTGCTCCGGGTGGTCCAGCAGATATTCCTGCTCACCTTGATGTCCATAGGTTCTACGACTAGAAAGCCGGGTGCTAGAGCTAGAGCAGCATGGTGACTGCAAGGGACATAGAGTCCAACCAGCAGCCAATCCAGGGCACCACCAGGTGCCACCACAAGAGGTCAGTGAAGAAGCCCAGGCCTGAATGTGTCACTTACCACAGACTCCAGGTTACCATGAGCACTTAAGAGAGCCGGGCTGGGCACCTCCACAGGGGCAGTGAAACAGGTGTCTGCTGCTTCCTCCCCTCCCCTCCCCTCCCCTCCCCTCCCCTCCCCTCGCTTCCCCTCTAACCACGAAGGTGCAGCCCAAGCAAGACAGACTCTCTGAGCCTGAGCATGAGCAACGTGAGTGCACAGCCACCTAGCCTGAAGTCTGCCCGCCTTGTGGGGGGCAGGGGGGGTTCCAGAGTTTGATGTCCCTTGCACAGCCAGCTTTTCTTCACCCTCCAGCCATCGGGAGGACAGCAGACGCTGCAGGAAGAATTGAAATGGGTCCTGGAGCATCACAGAGTCAGGCAGCAGGCGCTGGAGACACGAATGTGAGTTTCACCTCACCTAGAACCAGCAGAGCCCAGTGGCCAGAAAGATCCTCCTTCGGGGGATGAGGGAGCACCTCATCGTGGTCTAGCTGAGCGTGTACCGTGTTCACAGGGCAGTCCTAGGCCAGCAGTTGAAGGGAGCCCGAGAAGAAGCCAGGACAGCTGGTCAGCGCCTGGCTGCCCAAGCCATGGTGAGGGTTTACCCACCCTATGAGCCTCAAGATGTCGCTGGAGGGAGTCCTACAAACAGAACAAGAGCTCTTGTACACTCCCAGGTGCTGTCTACCTGTCAGGGTCAGCTCCGGCAGGCTGAAGCTGAAAATGCTCAGCTGCAGTTGCAGCTGAAGAAGTTGAATGAGGAGTATGCCGTCCGGCTGCAGCGCTATGCCAAAGAGACAGTGGTGAGCACTTAGGTTCTGTGGCGGTCGGAAGTGGCCTCTGAGTCTTGAGTGCAAGCCTGGCCTGGATGTGCTGGACAGTTATGGGGAAACTTTGTGGTCCCAGGTCCCTGCACAGGCAGCTGGGGTAGGAGGGGAGGTTAGATCCAATCAAGTGCCACCCTACCCAACTCAAGCCCATCTCCTCCAGCTTGACTGCCTAACCTAGTCCAAAGCCAGCCCCAATCCTAGCTCTGTCCTACCCAACCTCCTCCAGGAGACTGCCAACAGCACAGGTCGGGCAGCCCTTCAGTCGCTCCTGGAGGCCACTCTTCAGGACATTCGGGCCGCACACCGAAGCCGAGAGCAACAACTGGCCCAAGCTGCCCGGACCTACCGCAAGCGCCTGGCAGATCTGAGCCGGGGGCAGGAGTTGCTGCTAACCACCTGCAGGTGGGCTCCACCCTGACCCAGACACCGGGGGTGGGGTGGCCCCACATGACCTGCATTGTGGCTTAGCATGCTGCAGGTGCAGTCCCAGGCACAAATAGATCCCAACAGGGCACATGGTACTCCCAGGGCTACCTTTGCAACAGCCATCGACCTGGAGCCATTACCCATGCACTGGGCCACCGAACTCAGCCACCAAAGGGAGAATGAGGTAATGCTGGGACCCAGGTGCCCCCTCCCTGCTGCCTGAAACTGCCTTGAAGCCCAGAGGCCCAGCACTCCCCCCAGGCCTCATCCCAAGCTCAGAGCCTTTGAGCAGTTGGCCTTGTTCAGTTAATCAAGGGAACCCACCATGTGCTTTACAGTATGGCAGACACAGGACACTGCTACAGCACCCCGAGAAAGGACCTGGTGAAACTTCCAAGGACAGCAGGTCACAGCCACTGTGAGTGCCCTCCTGTTGGTGGAGGGGAGGTCTAGGAGTCAGGTAGAAAGCTGCACAGCCTTCGTCCATTCTGCCAACCCTTGCTGCTGGCTGGGATTCTCCTATCCCTGCTCTGGGCTATCTCAGTTTGTATGGGGGACACTGGTAATCACAGAAAAAATGGATGGCTGCTTTGTTAACTATCTAATAGGTAACACTTGGGTTTGGTGGGAGCTGACAGTCTGGGTGGCATGGCCAGCCCTAGCTTTGGCCCTCTACACCTGCTGTAGAGCAGGCAGGCACTGGAGACAGCACCTCCCAGGGACTAGGGAACCTAATAGACAAGTTCTGGGGAAGAAGACACCTAGTAGAGGGTTCTCCAGATACAGATGCTCCAGAGCCCCAGGCAGTGCTATGCTGTCCTAAAACCACACAGCAGGCATTATGCCTGCCTGGAGACTGCCCCTCCTGCCCTCCTCCCCTCACAGGGCCCTGGATACTGCATCCTGGGCCCAAATCCAGAAGAAGCTGCAGGACTTCTCCCAGGACACCCAGGTAGTGGGCAAGGAATGGTGGGGGCCCCTCCCTACGCCCTGCCCTGGCTCATGGCTCCTGCCTCCACCAGGCAGAGCTGGAACGAGAGCGGGCGCAGCTGATAGTCCGGGCCACCATGGCAGAGCAGCAGCTCTCTGAGCTACAGGAGTATGTGGACCAGCACTTGGGCAGGTAGGCCGGGTGTGACTCCAGGGCCCTAATCTAGGTGAAAGGGAAAGAGCCCATGACCAGAGAGGTGATCTGTCTGATCATCCCAATCAGGTACAAGCAGGAAATCCAGAGACTGAGGAAGTTGGTGAATACCGGAGACCACCAGGGAGCGGAAGTTATGCCTTCCACTAGGACCCAGTGCCCAAGGACCCCGAGTCACTAGCTAGCCAGTCTCCCAGAGACTACAAATCAAACCTCTTCACAGCCAGCATGGAACCCACTGCACACCCCACCCCATAGAGCGATTCCTGGAACAAACAAGAGTCAGGATTGAAGCCTGTATCGAGTCTTTATTGTATCTGGTCGGCCAGCCTGTCAAACAAGGGTCCCAGGGATGGAGGTAGAACTGGACTCTGGGATAGCCTTGGTGGACACCCCACAAGAAGACACAGCTGGCCCAGTACCGTGGACATCATAGGCCCAGACTCTGTCCAGGCCCTCACCCACCACAGCTACAGGCTGCCAGGTGGGAAGGGGGGGAAACGTCCAGACACCACGCGGGCCCCTGCAGGTAGCTCTCCTTGCAGCTTGTCCTCCAGCAGTGGGAGCTGTAAGGAGCGAACAGGAGGGAGGAGGGCACAGGAGCAGGTAAGGAAAAGCTGCCCCATCCAGCGAGGCCCAGAACCTATTCCAGCCCTCAGAGCCGCCGAGCGCCAAGAGTGTGGCCCTGACCTCCCAGCAGGACAGCAGACCCAAGACCTACCACACTGGGGGCCAGGAACACAGACACATTGTGACAGTCTCTGAGGCTCACCTGTGGGAAACAAAGATAAAGGCTGGAAGGCATGGGGTCACTGAGTTCTGGCCTCCAGCCCACCCAGGTATCAGTGTGGTAGCATTCAGAGCATGAAACCCGGGAGATAAAGGTATCAGGAGCTGGGTTTGATCTTCAGTTCTGCATAAACTTGGTCTGATGGTGCATGCCTGTAATCCTAGCA